AGGACTTTTGCCAACTAAAGGATTCTTAGTCCGATTGGCAATCGTTTAAGATATGCTTCAAAGTACGGGGCCGTACTTAGAACAAGCGGCAGCGGCAGAAGATGCTCGATGCTCTTTGCCTTCTCGTTCCTGCAACTAAGGTAGAAGTAATTAGAGAGGAAGCCTTTCCACTCTTCGTTCATTCCCTTCATTATTTTAGTTGATGGAGAGACGATCAAGGGAAACTCAGAGACAGACATCCGTTTGCCCACAGGGATCGTGGCCCATCTGTGGCTGTGTCGTTCAATAAAAACAGATTGTTGCACAGTAGGTATTAATTCTAAGCCTTGTTTTTAAGAGTAAAAGGTGATGGAGTATTCTATTAGAGGAGAGCAAGCAGCCTTCGTTATACATATATCTTAATTTAGCTTGGAAGCCCACAGTAGTCTGATAGATGCAGGCTAATGCTCAGAAGTAGTTATATCGAATGGGTGTTGCTGCCGCCTTTACTATTTAGCTAAGAGCCATCACTGAAAATTTTCATGGAGCTACATTATAGCTACATATTTACACTGTACAATTCGCTGCAAAGTGGAGTAATTGTTGAAACCTTATAATCAAAGTAGGCAGGTAACCATTTCAGCTAGATTGAAGTTTGCCTCAAAGAGGAGCGAGAGAACTTCAGGAGCTTTACTGAGTGTGGAGGGACGGGGAAAAAGGCAGAAATTCGCTATTTTCCGCAATTTACTCGTAATTTTTAAGGGTGTACAGGTCTAACGGACCTCGGATTTGGATTCAGCGGGTCGAATTACATGTATGTATGTATGTCGGTAGGTCTGGTTAAAAGTACAAACCACTTTTTTGTGTGTCGGTGATTTATGTTGAATATTGGCAGGCTATGTCTCGAGAATTGTAAAACTTGGTTTGTGGCATTAAGGCTGTTGTGGAATTGAAATTTGTATATCATCAGTATTGCACTACTTTGGTGCCACTGGATTTCCCTAGATGATATGTAGTAGATAATAAGGAATACATATATATATATATATATATAAATATATATATGGTTATATTTTGGAAACTGGCAATAGTAGATAAAAGTGATACTGTATGAGCGGTACTTAAATTGTGGAATATAATGAAAATTATAAATGAATGTTACAAAAAACGAAGAAAGATATAAGAAAGTTTTGTGAAAATGTAAAGCACATAAGATTTACAATAGGCCATCACATAGGTTGAGTGTAAGTAAATGAATAGTTATAGGACACACGGAGTTAGCCAAATAGGCCAAGCTGACCGAACATTGGTCGGGAATCAAAAAAGTTGAGCAAAAGTCAATAAATAAATCTAAGGGGGACATTCATATTCACACTCAAAAAAATCAATATATTCGCGAAACTAGGGGCCAAAAAAAGTAAAACTACGTTTTAGTTTTTGTCTCTGACTTCAGGGTTTTTATTAGAGGGCTTTGAAGTTTTAAAGATATGATTATGTAATTCAAAGTTTTTTTTTTTTAACTTAGTGCAATGTAGAATAACAATATGGGGTTCATTTAAAAGAAGAAATTCTGTAGAATTAAAAAAGTTAAAATTTTTTAGTGCACTGAATTTTTTAAAATAATTTTTGAATGTAATTATATTTTCGAAATTTAGAAGTCCTAAAAGCTAAAAATGCAGTTTCACTATATCTGGCCCATAGTTTCGTGAGTTAATTGATTGTTTCGTGTGTGAGTAACAGGAACGTGCCTTCTCTTTTGTACGAATATGTTTTTTGATTGGATGAATTATAACTGTTGTCGCTTATTTTTATCCCCGTTCTTTGACTACTTTTTCAAAAAATATAGGTTATTGTTCAACAAAAGCGGTATGAGTTAAAGTTTCGAACTTTGTGCAATTAAAAAAATCAACAAACTTAAAGGTTACCAAATGTTGCGAATTGCGAGTTTTGTGTTAAGAAGACATCGATTTGTTAGTGCATATTCTGGCATATTTTGCCTTACATGCATATATAGGCATATTTTGTCAAAAAAGCATAACTATTTGCCTTTTTATTAAACGCCGTTTGCAAGAGCATTTGAGCATTCCATGCACTACCGCCAAAAAAACATAAGCGACGTTTTTTTTGTTTTTAATTTTCTTTTCAAGCAGAATTGATCTAGATGCTCTACGCGCATTTCTGCAGCAAAAAGAAAATTTTTGAAAAATATGTCGCTTGTGTTCTTTTGCCGGTTAGGGCTCGATATGGTATAATCAGCTAAGGCGCTGAAGGTATTTTACCCAAAGTTACTGCACGTTACTTTTTTGGCACGCAATGCACCGAGTGGCCTAAGATGCAACAGCCCGCTTCAGTGATGTTGACGATTTACGGCACTATTCTTGTCACAGTTTTTATTATGGAAAAATATATGAAAAAGTTTAAATTTGTCACTAAGCAATTTCTTGCCACCAATACAGAATTGGGCTACTAATATCGAATGGGAAAAATTATTT